CAACACGGAGCATTTACCTCCCCTCTGGGGGCTAGGTATTTCACCTCCCAGGACGAGGCTACTTCCAAAGTCGAGGATATGCCTCACAAAATGTCAGTCGAACACAACAGGTAGGACTCAGTCACAACCACAGTTACAGGTAGTTGAGGAGAGGCGGAATTAACGGCGTCACTGAGAGCTAAACACCCCCCCCACCCTGAATGGAGGGAATGTCACTGGAGGCTCCCCCTAAGGGGCTGGCGCTTACCAGTCGTCCATAACTGTGGTCTACCTGAAGTGCCGGGTCTGACACCGGGCAGTTACCTCCCCTCTGGGTGAACCTCCCCTCTGGGCATGATGATAGCTGACATTCCCGATTAACATATAGACATATTCTTATCTGAAAAATACTTCCGGGCTCCGCCCAAGGCCCCACTAGAAAAAAGAGGCCATGCTGCAGCGCGGGTAGCGCAACACTACGTCACAGTGGTGGATAGTTGTACTAAACTCTTACCATTAAAATCTTACAAACAGCCAGCTTGTTTATTTACCTAAAACATATGGGAATGGTGATGGCAATGAATTTATCAATGAAATCTATCCACTAGTGTGACGTCATGGATCCTGCAGCATGGCCTGCTTTTTCTAGTGGGGCCTTGCTCCGCCCCAGTGGCTCTGTAGTTCCCCATGTTAACCTTATGAGTATTCATATTTAAAGGGAATTAAAGAATTCAGTCAGCTGTTTCAACTAAAAAAGTTGGTTCTATGATATACAAAAGCATTAAAAAGTTATAAGATTTACCAACAGGTTCAGCACCAGGGTTCAGCACTATAATCTTTTTTTGCATTTATGTAAACAGCTAATAGACGAGTCGATTTAGCCCAAAAAAGCCTCTAAGATAGAACAAATTCCAACAAATTGTTTTTCAAAGGTTTTTGGTACTAATAGGTGTAGAAAGTACCAGGAAAAAAGTCTACCAAAATCGGACAACCGGAAGTCGGGTTTTTCCAAGATGGCCGCCGCGAGGCCCTCAAATCTACAAGATGACTGCAAATTCGTCAATTCATAGTTCCAGGATTGGCCGATTTCCACGAAAATTGGCAAACACATGTAGAACTATATTTCCAACCTTAAATATGAAAACTAGGAAGACAAAGTAACCCAAAGATGAATTTTCAGGGTATTATGTGCAAAAAAATAAGATTTTTTACCTCAAATATATGTTTTTCTAATATTTTGTACAAAGTTTGTTATAATTTCAAATTTATTTTTTCACCATTAGATGCAACACAAAAAACCTAACAATTTAGTATATTGAATCTTTGTTCTGCTTCAATTTGTTACAGAGATATTGAAAGTAATAACTTTAGTATGTTTTCTTGCCGAGATAACTCAATGTTAATCTTATGGAGAATAAGCATAAATATTAATATTATTTTTCATTAAACCTATATAGATAAGACTTTTTTCTGCTTCATATTATGTTTTAATATTTTTCGTCCGATTTTGGTAGACTTTTTTCCTGGTACTTTCTACACCTATTAGTACCAAAAACCGCCAAAAACCAATTTGTTGGAATTTGTTCTATCTCAAGTGCCTACATTTACTCGACTATAATTTGAACTAAGCAGCAACAAAAAACTGTGATACCCAATGAGAACTGTCAAAGTAGGATTGTTTATAGTTATGTTTATGTATTTAATGTCATGAACAATTTGTGATTTTTTGTGAATTTGTAATATTTTCTTTTTCTTTATTGTTTAGGTGAAGAGGTAGAACATTTTGGCTATGGTAAATGTGTAATACCATTAGTATACCGTCAATTTAAAGAAGCAAATCTAATCAAACTTTGTCCTCCCCCATTGCAAACGCAAAGCTTGAGTATAACTGCAATAAGCATTTTAAAGTTATATGTCAATCCCGTACGAAGCAGGGGTACTCTGCTAGTGTATATATAAATCTATATGTATATATATATAAATTTGACCTAATGGCGTTTTTAGCCTCTGGGGACATCAAAATGAAAAAGTAAATCGGTCCTGGGCCTAGGTCTTACCGTGCCACCTACGGTAATAGCGAGACGTAGGAATTGGCTAACTCAGGAACTCGCTAACTCGGTCGTGTGACGGAACTGGCTAACTCTGGAACTGGCTAACCGTCTCAGTCAGGAATTGGCTAACTCCGGAACCCGCTAACTCGATTTTGTCTCGCGGCGGAATTCGCTAACTCTGGAAGTCGCTAACCCGGCCGCGCCCAATGCACGGAGCATTGCCAACCTTGTAAGACGAAATAATCGTACACTGCCGTATTTCAAAATGTCAGTGTCAATGAAGATACAGTAAGTGTTATTGTTTTTTTGTTATCAATTCCACTTTTAATAGATAACCAGCCCAAAGTAATTAAAAGACAATTAAAAAATCACGAAAAAGTTTTTTTTATTTAACTGTACAGTGGCCAAAATGTTTATGTGTCTGTGTGGTGCTTTAAATATTTATGATTTCAATCTTTGATGCAATTGTTAATTTTTATAACTTTTTATCTTAATATCTATTATCAGTATTTTGTTGTTGGTTCATATAACTTATTCTTTGTTATTATCATATTCATTTAATGTATTTATTGTTAAATCACATTCCATACTGTTGGTAATCCACAGAGCTGACGCCTAAAAAATTAACATATTAGACATGTTATTTGTAATGTCTAGCCTGACTGTAGCCATGCTATATGCATGACAATCGTCATCGCATTTTTTGTAATGTCCAATGACAAATAAATAATTCTGATTTCTTAAATATAAATGCCAGCAGTATAAAAGAAAATAATAGAATATGAAAAATGTTGAAAATTCAGTTTAATTGGTACTAAATAAATAAACCTCTACGGAATTAAGCTAAAATACACGCAAGTTCTCAAACACGGAAAACTAATTTTATCGTAATAGACCAAAACCGTTAATTAATACAGTCATCAACCATCGTAACTTTCATAACTAATACGTAGATTTAAAATTAAATGTTCGTCGTTTAATCGTCCAACTTACGTGTACAAATATGACATAGACTAAGTTTCATATCAATTTATAGAATAGCTGTAGGCCTAAATCTAGGCCAAATAGTATAAACCGAAGCATTGTAGGCCTACTAGTAAATAGTTGTCTAATTCTAAAATGTGTTGAATTTTTAGTAATAATTTTACATCTTTTAAACAGTTTTTAGATTGTACACCTAAGCACCACTAGTAAATAGTAGGGGAAGAAATAATATTCATATAACAAAACGTGATAGGGTTATTTTAATTCACGATTCTTAATCAACGAATTGACAGATTTTCCTGATTTGAGTGTTGGGTTTTCTTTCCCTATATTGATTTTACAATCGAAATGAACTATACCAAGCCATTGCTCGGTTCCCCGTTCCCCGGTACTGAGTTTGATCAATAGACAATAGCTTTGTTTTTAAATAAGATCAGGTAATTTTAGCTATGGCCACCATTCATAAAATTAATAACAAACAAGAACGCCTGAGTCCATTTAGAACCAAAAAAACTCCGAACTTTTAAAAAGTAGGCCTACTAAAAGACGTAAAATTAATAATATTAAACAAAATTAAGAGGATGACCCGGGTTCTACACTAATAGCCTACAATAACAGAAATTTACAAGTTGTATTTATGCATAGACTAATTTTTAATGCAATCCATGAATACATAAGGCCTACCACTTTATAATATATTGACCTTAACCAATATTTATTTAAATCAATAGTTTTAGCTCTATTTAAAAATACATTACCGGTACAATGTATTTCTGTAATGACGTTTAACGTGTACATTTTATCACGATTTATGATTCAATTTCATGATCCAAGGTTACAAGCCCAGTATATAAAATTAGAACTTAATAATTTTATTTGCAGAAGTTCACAAAATGGTATTTATTCGAATAAAAGAAACAACTGGCGGACTCCGAAAATAGATATTTCATAACACGTAAAAGATCCAAATTAAATCATTAAATTATTCTTTTTGCATGCCAATATACTACTATTTAAGTAAGAAAACCACGTATAAAACATACTCCCTTATATTAGTATATTTCTCATCCTTATGGATCAGCTGAAAACAGTTTTATTGTTAGTTCTGTCCGGTGCACTGTCTTTGGAGGTCGTGTTTTGTTTACAATTGTTTCTTGTTTTAAGTAATTTAAAACCTCGTTTAACCAAATAAAACGTTCTTATCACAACTAATAACACGTCCCCTAGTTATATAACCAAACAGTAAAGAACAAATCATGAAGTTAACTATAAAATAATATAAACACTATTTCGTCGACACTAGCGATCAGCAGTGTCACCGGACATGAACTAGACACGAAAAACGAGCTTCAACGTTTACAATGGGATGTAATTTGGTTAGTCTATGGTAAGACAATAATGCATTTTCCGTCCTTATAATCTTAAGAATAATATTAAACATACTTCTAAATATATTTATTTTATCGACTTCATTGCTCTCACTCCTAATTATTCGTATGAAACGACATTATGGTACGATACGATATAGGTACTACACTTTCGGCAACACTGGCCAAAAATATTCGTGCTTGGCTCCCATTGGACGGCCCGCGAGGCTTCTGATTGGGAGTTAGCGAGTTCCGCCGAGGGACTGAGTTAGCGACTTCCGTACGAGGACGGAATTCGCTAACCCGGCTCTAGAGCGGGTTAGCGGGTTAGCGGGTTCCGGAGTTAGCCAATTCCGAAACCGAACAAGTTAGCGAGTTCCTCTCATCGACCAAATTTCAAGATAGGGCGTTTAACATGGGGTTAGCGATTTCCAGAGTTAGCCAATTCCGCGGACCCGTAATAGCTACTTCCCTACAGGGAAATTCGCTAAAACGAGTTGCTATCAGCAACATAGCTGGGTAGAGCTCCCACCATTATAGCATAAAATGAAAATCTGATGCCTGACAAACTTTAATGTCAGCTAAGACAACCACGAGGGAAACTACAGGATAAATTACATTCTTACCTTACTGATATTATATTTACAAATTTACACAGTCAAATTTACGAGTCACTACTTTGTCCTTTGTACATTTCAAGAACCCTCTTCCTTTCCGCCTTACCCTTGAGAATAGCCTCTTTGAACAGTCTGCAATACAGCTGTATCGACACTGCTGAATCATCGTTCCCAGGTATCGGGTAGGTAATGATGTTCGGATTGCTGTTGGAGTCTACCACGGCGATCGTCGGGATTGCCATCTTGGCAGCTTCCACTACAGCTTGATGATTATCCAATACTGTTGTTAAAGTACTGAACATAATTATCAAATCGGGCAGTCGAGTCACCGCCCCGAACATCATGGTTGAGTTGGTCAACATGCCTTGCCGCCAAGATCTCGTATGTACAAACTCCTTACATTCCTGAGCGGTTTTCTCAATCAGGTGACAATGTTGCGGTGACTGTGTGACAAACAGAATGACTCCGTCCCTGTAAGCGATGTGCGCGGCTACGTTCAGCGCTTGGTGCAACATCTTCAAAGTTTGGTCCAAGTCGAAGATCAAATGTCCCATACGGGAACCGAAGATGTATGGCACCATGTATTCGTTCAGGGATCCTTCTTTGTGCCCGTAGTGAACTCGTGCGTTAAACAGGTCTTTGACGGTCACCATCTTTTTAACTTGGAAGTAGTCTTCGTGGTGGATTGGATTCAAAGAGACTGTTTCTGGAAATAAAATTGTTTTGGTTAGCATTTACAAAGGTGAGAATTTGTGAACAGTGTAAAAGATTGAATCGACACAGTAAGGAGATATAATATAGTGAGTTGGTGGCTCAATCGGTAGCGTCACGGACTTCGGGCCCAAGGCAGCGATGTCGTGAATTCGGATCCTGGTCACTGCTGAAAACATTTTCATCAGTACACATCACCTTTGTACTGAGCCGTCTCATTTGCTTTGCTGTATACGATCGACACACGGCCTGTTAGTCTATGTGGACGGGCAAATGCAAGGTTAAAAGAGGCCGCCAACCTCTTTAAATTAAAAAAAATTGATATACCTTGTGATGTTTTACTAAAACAAATTTTAATTTTACGGTATTACAGGTGAAACTTTAAACATTTCAAAACTTATTCAACCAATAGATAGCAGTATGTATCTGTTGGAGCCAGTCATTCTGACTTAAGATTGGTCCACAGGGCTCAAGTTTGGGACCATTTTTGTTTTTAACCTCGATAAATGGCCTGCCGAGGAATGTTGGTTTGGTGCAGACACTGTTGTATTTGCTGATGACATAACTCTTATTGCAGCACATAGATGTATTCATGAGCTTGATTTAATTACAATGCTAATGAACCAATAACATGAGCACTAAATTGGTTTTTGAAAAAAAAAAATGATGTACAGTATACCGTAATCAAGAAAAAAACAGACAATTCTATGAGTGTATCCCCACTTCATCACAAATCAGTAAAATTATTATGTGTCAAAATTAAATTGACAATAGCACATAGAAATCACATGTAAAAAATGTCCACAGTAGTGTTGACGATAAGAGTCCGCAAGCCCCCCCCCCCCCCGCAAGTTTGTTCGGGACCCCCCTCTCCCAATAATCTAACATCACATGTATTACCGTCTAAACTTGCACTTAAGCTTGGCACGGCATCTCTCGAAGAACCGAGGCGTCATTGTCGTCTTCCATGATCACAGCCAAATCATGAATACTCTCCGTAGTCATGGAAGAAACATTAGCCTATCATAGAAATCCATGGTGAAGGGTACTGCCAGACGTTTCGCCCTTACTATGAAGTGACATCCTCAGTGGTTAGGCTGAGACTGACTTCATAGTAAGGGCGAAACGTCTGGCAGTGAAATACAACTAGCGACATGGTTGACGCCAAAAACCATCACCATGGATTTCAATGACACCGGCGGCCGTAAAAGCCTACGCATGAAGATTAGCTTTTCATAGTCTACCGTGATTGCAACCAAACCTATGACATCATCAGATATAACAGTCTGAGATAACAACATTATCGTCTCCTGCGTTCACGGCCCAATCCCTAATATCTCCCGCGACCCGTGGTGACAGGGAATAATTTTCCCGCAATCGCAGCAAAATACTAGATATATCTTTTGCAGAAAAAGGAACGTCATTATCGTCTTCTGCAATCATGGAAAAATATTGAACATCTACTGCAGTCGCTGAGACATTGTCATTGTCACCCGCTGAGGAATGTTCTCGTAGATATCCGCGATCGCGGCAAAAGCATAGGCCTAATTTTTTTCAATTTCGTGAGCATGATTCTCGCGGACATAAAAGCTTTTACTTTTAATTGGGCATCATTGTAGTGAGTACTGAGAAAATCGGCTCGAGCTTGATTTTCTGACTTTGTGCTTGATCTCTCAAGCTTATAGACTAGGCTCTGCTCGGCTCCAAAATCTACATTATATAAAAATCAACAGTTTTCAAAGCAACCCGATTTTGAACCGATCTGATTTGGCCTGAGGCCCATATGTAAGTAACATTTTTACATGACTTGGAGTAAACAAATCTTAAGTGCAGCCTTCTAAGTTAATAGTAAGAAATTACATTAAATGAAAATCCTTCTTTAGCATCAACGAAGAACGGAATTATTTATTAGCTAGTGTCCTACTAGCCAGCCACCTAGGTGAAGTGAAGACCTCAAAGTAGTAATGTTCTCACGGCTTCTTTTACATTCCCTGACCCATTTCTGCACTTTGCCCTGACTCATTGCATTAGGGCCATAGCCTTCAGCCACCAAGCGATGAATGTCGGCATTGGATACGTTTTGTGGTCAAAAACCATGTCACTGACAGTGGCGGCTGGTCCATAAGGATTCTGGGACAGAGTCTTTCCATTTTCTAGAGAATAGTAAAAATAATGATTAACATATATGATTTTTATTCCTGCATTTGAATGTACACAAACCTTAGCAGATCCAACGTTATTAGGACGGGTGATAATGGACATAACATGTTTTTGCAACAGGTAGTACACGGGGACTCTGTAGATGTGAGTCCAAACTCCCATATAACCTGCATGCATATAACCTGCATGGAAAAATTCTACTAACCACAGCACTGTGTCCTGCTCTGATGCCATAGATATAGGGCATTTGTAAATCCGTCCAAACAGTAGTTGCCACAATGATCGCTGAGCGCTAAGATCTGTTGACTGTCAACACAAAATATCTGTCAAATAATAGAATGGCGTGTTTAGTGATTCATAAAGGTTATGTTGATCGTGTCGCTGGTATTCGAGGTGTTAATTAAGTGTTTCTCTAGAAATTTTGTTCAGTTATGCTAATGAATGATGAATTCTGTCATAAATATTTCTGCAAAGTATGCGAGTGGTGAGAACAAATAAATTATAAGTAATCAAAGCGAAAATAAAAACAGTTACAGTATGAATAAAACAGTATATATTCAAAAAATTGGCCTAAACCAACGTTTAAATATCTCAATTTTTGTACTTAGTATTAATCCTCCCTTGTTATCAGTAACCTGCAAAAAACAATTTATGTGTCCTCCCACTACATTAACCAACCAGCCGCCACTAGTCACTGACCTTATCTCGCATGCCGCAGGAGTTTCAATAATTTTCTCAACACACAGCAAAGCTACAGAGCTACATTTCTGAGGTGAACAGAATCACCAATGATCTCGATCATTCCATTTTCGATCTTGAATTTCTATGACATAGCTAATGCAATTTATTGTTAACGTTGGCTGGATAAAATTATTTGCCTTGTTGCGGCGTACAAGCAAAATACAGCACTAGGCTATACACAAAACAGCCCTTACATAAAAAAAACCTATTATTTGGTAAAATTTTAGTTTCACTGAGTTAAAAAGTCCAGTTAAAAATGAAGAAACAAACACAAATCAAACATGCTTCATACATAATGGAGCTCAGACTAAAACTAAATTTATCTAATTGAATCTCTGCCTAAGTACTCAAGCCCTCCGCCAGCTGCCAGCTTGTTGAGGGGAAAATATTGTGTGAAGGCTCATGTTTCGCTGTACCGGTAACCGTTACATACAGGGTGTCCCGGAACTCTCTACCAATATTTTAGGGCATTGTTCCTGGGTAAGAAACATATCTAAATATCATACTCAAATTGTCCGGGAGTCCTTAGTTACTCGCATAGCTGCCATTTTGTTTTTTTTCACTTATTAATTTTTTTTTCTGAAAAGTGGTTAAACATACGAAATTGAAACTTTGCACGAACATTTATAACAACTAGACAAAATTACAAAAACATTATGACAATTTAATTCATAAAACAAAATAGCGGCCGTTTCTAATTTTGTTTCTTAAATAACTCAAAAACCGTTGATTTTACAAAAGTTTTACAAAAACAACTTATTTAAGGAAATTTAATTACAAATCGACTCACACCTTAATCAGATTGGACAAATATTAACTGAGATATTACAGCTTTAGTGATACGTGACCATGCTCTGCACACACTGCAACTAACCTCCAGCGGTCACGTATCACTAAAGCTGCCATATCTCAGTTAATATTCGTCAAATCCTAAAGATTAAGGTGTCAACCTATTTGTAATTAAATTTCCTAAAAAAAGTTATCCTTGTAAAACTTTTGTAAAATCGGCGGTTTTTTAGTAATTTAAGAAACAAAATTATAAATGGCCACCATTTTGTTTTATGAATTTTGAAAATTATCATAATTTTTTTGTGATTTTGTCTAGTTGTCATAAATGTTTGTGCAAAGTTTCAATTTCGTATGTTTAACCACTTTTCAGAAAAAAAATAATAAATGAAAAAACAAAATAGCAGCTATGTGAGTAACTAAGGACTTCCGGACAAATTAAATATGTATATATTTATATATAAATACTAGCTGACCCGGCGAACTTCGTATCGCCTAAGTTATAGGTTTCCCCTAAGACAGACCGATGGAAAGAAAGTACCGTTACGTTTAATTTTCAAGTTGATCTCGTTCGCATCGCTCAATCACGTCCTGGTTGAAGTTCGTTCGCTACGCTCACTCACCTTTGGGTTGGAGCTCGTTCGCTACGCTCACTCACCTTTAGGTTGGAGCTCGTTTGCTGCGCTCACTTGCCTTCAGGTTAGCTCGTTCGCTACGCTAACTCGCCTCCAGGTTGAAGTTCGTTCGCTACGCTCACTCACCTTTGGGTTGGAGCTCGTTCGCTACGCTCACTCACCTTTAGGTTGGAGCTCGTTCGCTGCGCTCACTTGCCTTCAGGTTAGCTCGTTCGCTACGCTAACTCGCCTCCAGGTTGAAGTTCGTTCGCTACGCTCACTCACCTTTGGGTTGGAGCTCGTTCGCTACGCTCACTCACCTTTAGGTTGGAGCTCGTTCGCTGCGCTCACTTGCCTTCAGGTTAGCTCGTTCGCTACGCTAACTCGCCTCCAGGTTGAAGTTCGTTCGCTACGCTCACTCACCTTTTGGTTGCAAATTTTCTGTTGTAACATTCATAAATGTAAAATAAATAATAGTGCTGCACCCTGTTGGTAATCCTTGTAACTTTAATGCTATTGAACATCATAGAACAGAACCAACTTGTTTAATTGAAACAGCTGTTAAGATTCATTAATTCCATTTTTCATAAGGTTAACACGGGAAACTCCAGAGCCACTGGGGCGGAGCCCTTTTAAGAATTTCGAAACGGGAAATAGTTTACGTCCGATTCGCATACCTACAGAATTTACACACCAAATTTCATAACGATCGGTGAAGTCGTTCCGGAGGAGTTTGCAGACAAACACTGTGACACGAGAATTTTATATATTAGATGTATATATAAATTATATATTTAGATATGTTTCTTACCCAGGAGCAATGCCCTACAATATTGGTAGAGAGTTCCGGGACACCCTGTAGAAGCAAGTGCAACTATAATCACAAACCTTTTCAAGTTTCCCTCACTAAACCTGAGTGCATCATTTTCTTCCCATTAAATGTTTGAATACTTTTTGCACTTAATTTTGGGTTCTTCAGAGTAAAACCAAGTTACATCAACCTAGTGTGTTTTTCTGTCCTCCTGAAGATGATGATAGTGTTACCTTCAAAGTAGATTTTCAACTATATAACATTTAGCTTTGTGATACACACGGAAAACCCCATCCTTTCACTTAATCAAAGACTTCCAAACCTACCTTTCTTTTCAATCTCAGTCTGTGGTTGTGTTTGTGTCGAAAGTGTTTTAATCATGTCATGTCTCCCAGGATTGTTATTGGCAAAACTGAGGATATTTCTGCAGCAGGTTGCAACATTTCCTGGAACAAATAAAACTTATGGAGTACAAAAAAATTGTATGAAATATTGCAACAACAGAGATCTAGGAATATGAATAGAGCAAACGTAATTGCAAATCTAAGTGAATAATATTGAGATAATGTTGGTTAACACATTGGTTAAAACGTTCAATTCAACACAAACAGACTATGTTCCTTATTCAAAAATGGTTCTCGCAAAATATGTTATCCATGAGTGTTTTTTTTAAGTTTTCCTTAGACAAAGTGGTGAGCCTGCCAACCTTAGACTAGCGATGCACGTTTGTTGGAGATCCAGGTAGGTAACTACGCCTGTGATTTTTTTCAGTTGGAGCTGCCCTGCTAATAAAGAAGGCAGTAAGTGCAAAATTTTCGATTTTCAGATTTTGATGTAATTTAAGGTTTTTGGGGTCAGGGATTCTGAAAAACACACTTAAAAAGCCGTATCTACAACCGTTTCTGAGATATGGCAGGTGTATATGGCAGTATATACATCATTTTTCAACAAAAACTAAGCTAAAAGGCAGTATCTATAAAAGCTAAGCAAGAAAGGCAGTATCTGCGATGTAGATACTGCCTTTATGCTTAGTGATGTACATCACGTACTGCCTTTTTGCTTAGCAGTATGGGTACAAATGAGGAACTAAAAACACTTTTTACCAGCTGAGATTATGTTGTTGTGTTTGTGTTTACACTGTTGTTTGTAAATATGAAAATGGCTAGTAGTAGTTAGATGCTGCTTTTTAGCTTAGGGTCCTCCTATTAGCACTTACTAGCTAAGCAAAATGGCAGTATGAGCAGATGCTGCCTTTTGGCTTAGCATGAACACAAATATTTCTAAGGACAAAAGCAGTATGTGCATTTTTATATTGATCCAGTGGAAAAAATGTATTTTTTATAGTGTCAATTGAATATTTAGGCCTAAGCATTACCTAAGATAACAAAAAATATTAGGCTAGTTTAGTCTTCAGATGTGTCAGGGCAATAGCGGCAAAGTTGAGGTCATTTTCTGAAAATATTCACTTTTGCACATACTGCCTTCTTTCTTAGCAGGGCAGAGTGTGACCTGTACCAAGATTAACAGATGTGTCCATAGCCAATGTAGCATTGAAGGAAACACATTTGCCTTGCAGCTCATTTTACTACACCAACAACTGAAGTGGGAAGACAAAAACAAGATGAGGAATCTAGAAGTAGCAACTCATTGCCCCCCTAGTGATTGAAATTTAAATTCTTTAAGACGGCTTAACTATATTTTATTGGATAATCCTTACAATCTAGCATACATACAAGCAAGTCAGATGTTATTAAATTAACAAAATCAAGACTCGCCTAACAGTTAGATCTACGTTTTGTTGGTAGAGTTCCTATAAACAAACGCTGGCTGCACCTACTGCTGTTTAAATACATCTAGAGATGGAGAACCAGAACATCGCCATGTAGTTGCCCATGGACGGGAAGGATGTCCAAAGTTGTTATCTGTCCTCAGTCCTTACTGTGATCCTATGTTGTATCCTGTAGTTTTTCCTTACGGTGAGCCTATGTGTCAAATACCCCCGCTGCAGCAAACCTGCCGACTAAGCGAATTTCCATTTGCCTGGATTGATTTTCAATTAAGGGGATACGCCACTATCTGTAGGCCATATTTTATATTTTTTTTACATTTTCCAAAAGTTGCATTTTTAGATAGGTCATTTAAATGTGAACATTTAGCTAAAATTGTTTGCCAATCTGACAACTCCTTCTAGTATAAAAAAAATAAAATATAAAACGCCGCAACCAGCAATTTAACAAAATTTTGAACTATTTTTTTTTGTTCCTGATATGTACACTTTTAATTGTGTATCATAATTATGTATTATGGAGTTATAAAGTAGGGTACATTTATTTAAAACAAAATAAGTACTTTGCTATTTTTATATATAATATAAAATAATAAGTTAGTGTAGTTATGGGAATTTTTCTCCTGTCAACCACCTGTTACATCACCTGCGATTATCTCAATACCGTGTTTTTTAGGTTATTATTGTACAAAAGTTTGAATAACTCCGTTAGTACTATACTTATAGTATTCAAATTTTCACCAGACCTTCTTTATATAGTAATAAAGGATTGTGTGTATAGTAAGCCCTATAGCATTACATTTACTAAAAATATTTATGTTTACGCAAAAATTTTAAATATTTTTTTCAGCTTTTTTATTTTTTGAATAAAAGGTGTCCTAAAAATTTTGTTTTTTTAGTTACCATAACGATTATACACAGAAATACTCATTATTTCATCCTGAATCAGGAAATAAATAGAATATGTCATTCCGATCAGTAGTTGAAAAGTTATTCTCAATAACGACTTCTTAAAAATGTTGGTGAAAAAAACTAAAAACGCATATAAATTTAGTAAATAAGTTATAAATTCAATATTTTTGTACCTAAATCTTCTAACTAAGTCTAGTATAATCAAAATATACTAACTAGGTTGACAAAAATAAAATAATAAAAAAAAAGTTGGAGATAGTGGCGTATCCCCTTAATGTATTAAATTAACAGTTAAAACCACACAATTTACTGCTTATGGTAGGGTATTCAGGCATATTAGTGACTCATAAAATGGCTTAAGCTATGAATAGTAAAAAAAGCCCTTACTTGAACAAAGTAGAAGACTTCTCATTATGAGACCGGACAGGTTAAGTTTATATTGAAAATAAATAGCAGAATATTTTGACACTAAACTAAAAATGGTATAACCAAAACTAAGAGTATCGTCAGTGTACGGCAATATAATAATAAACAATAATTTAGAATTTAGAGGTTATGTTCAGTCAGTGACCGGTCACCAGTCAGTTCAGTGTTCAGTCGGGGCAGCGCAGCAGTCCACTCAGCGAGCAGCAGACAGAAGACAGCGACAGGACAGACTGGAAGAGAGGGAGACTGAGACTGAACAGAAAACCTTGCCGACAGACCGCCACTGCCCACCACTGCTCCAGCGAACACCTTAACCCATTACCATTACCAACTATTATGTCGTTGCCCAACACTTGTTGTATAGACTGCGTCAAGTAAAATTTACAGTAATAAAACTAATAAAAAAATAACATTCTTATTTAACCAATATTTACAAATAGAAAAACTAGTGATGGCGGGGATGATGGGGAATATTATAGTATATTCGAGAAGTACTCGCCAGACACTTCCTCAAAAGAGTACAGCGGCTCATTTGTAAGTTTGTTAAAAATCTGCATGGAGAACGCTTTCATGTCTTGGTAATTATTTACCGTATTTACATTGGGATATGATGTAGGACCCGACTAGGAAGGAGTCCAGCATGGATACCAATACCATTGCAACAAACCTGGACAAACCATTGTACAAAGTCAATTGTTTTACCGCAACGATACGATGAACAGCAGTGGATAGCGCACCGGGCTGATAATTCGGAGGTACAGTAGCCGGTTTGAAACCCACCGGAGGCATTAACTTTTTGACTAGATTTTTTTCATTATCAGCAAGTTTGGTTGGTTTGGTTAGGTTATTATGGTTTAATTTTATAATTAAATAAACGGTATCAGTATTCTGACACATACTTTCTCCCATCAATTTGTCAACAACCTTTATCATGTGTAAGCGGTGAGAGTAAATATACGGAAATGGGATTTGTTTATTTTTCGTCAGAACTTAAAGTACTATAACATGCTATAAAATACTAAATTTTTATCAAATTCGTTCAGGCCATTTTTGGAAAATCAGATTTTTTCCGTTATTTTATGGGATTTTTATGGGAAAATAACATAATTTACAATAACTTTTGAATTGTAATTTTTACAGAAATGGGATTTGTACAATTTTGTTCAGAATATAAAGACATACTAAATCTTTATCAAAATCATTCGGGCTATTTTTTGAAAAATCCTATTTTTACGTTATTTTATGGGGGTTTTATGGAAAAATCCCCATTAATATAAAAATTTTCCAAAAATAAAAAAATAAAAATTGTAAGGACCATAACATACTATGTCAAATCAAACCCGCATTTTTCTAAAATCCTATTTTTCGTTATTTTATGGGGTTTTTATGGGAAAATAACATAATTTACAATAACTTTAGAACCGTATTTTTTACAGAAATGGGGTTTGTACAATTTTGTTCAGAATGTAAAGGGCTATAACATACTACATTTTTATCAAAATCTTTCGGGCCATCTTTGAGAAAATCCGATTTTCCGGTTTTTTATGGGGTTTTATGGGAAAGTGCTCATTAAAAAAATCAAAATTTCAAAAAAATGAAAAAAAAAACACCTGGAGATACCATGGATTAGAACCTACATACCAAATTTCGGCTGCACTTTACTACATGTCCTACTCCTACACTCATTCGAATGAAAATATCGATTATTCGGGTGTTTCATTCGATATATCGTTTGGATAGTTAGGTTAACCTTACCTAACTAACCAAACGATATATCGAATGAAACTATCGATATATCGATCGATATTTTCATTCAAATGAGTGTATGACCTAAAGTAAAGTGCAGCCCAAATTTCATCGAATTGGACCAAAGGTGTAGTCCCTAGCTCTGTATACATCCAGACACACACACACACACACACACACACACACACACAGACATCACTTCGAAAACCACTTTTTTGGGTCCTGGGGCCCATTTCATAATAAACTACAAGTTACAAGTTACGACTTGTAACTTGTAATTTCCATTAGATTTGCATTGGGCGATCAGCTGATTTACTAATATTATTAGTTTGTACTTTATTATGAAATGGGCCCCAGAGGGGCCCAAAACGAATATATCCACTCAAAACGCAAAGTCGAAAATTTTGACGAAAACAATACTTTCTCCATATACTATAGTATAGGGGGAGAAAGTAAAACAAAATATACAGGGTGAGTTTTAAATGAGTTCCCACCCTACTTTTTTCTACATTTCTTCAGATATCAACTCCGGACCATGTCAGATCATTGTAGAGTAGTAAGTACTTCATTTTGACTGGGTAAACATTTTAGTCCGCCATCTTGGATCCGCCATATTTGATACAAAGTTTTATTTTCAAATGTAAAGGTAGGGTTGTGACCCATCGTTTCAAACTAAATTTTTAAGCTGAATACGATGCTGCAATCTGTTTTTAAAAATCTTGATCCGTTATAAAGTTATGAGAACTTTTTATAACTTTATTTTTAGCCAATTTTAATATTGTGCATTTACAAACTAGCACTATAATCGCAAAATAGTGCTAGATAAAGACAAGTATACACCACCAGTCATTGTCAACCTTTTTTAACTTGGTTATGAGGGATATTATTTTTCGGCCGCCATCTTGGATCCTCCATTTTGAAATTAGATTAATTATTTTAAATGTGAAGGAGGTGTTGTGACCCATCATTTTGAATTATTTTTTTATGCTGAACTCAATGCCGCAATCCGCTTTTTTTATCAAGCTTTCTTGATGAAATATTACGATTATTTTATATACAATGTTGGTATTTCAAAAACGAAATATTAAAATGAAAAATGGATTGCCGCATTGAGTTCAGCATAAAAAATTATTCAAAATGATGGGTCACAACACCACCTTTATATTTGATATAATTAATTTAATTTCAAAATGGCGGATCCAAGATGGCGGTACAAAAATACATCCCCCATAACCAAGTTAAAATAGGTTGACTATTTTATTTTGTGAACAGAACATATATATATATATATATATATATATATACATATTATTTATTAGTAAACCTTCATTCGAAATTTTCATCATCAGCAAGTTTGGTTAGGTTATGACAGTTAAATTAATTTAAATTTAACCTAAAAACGATACGTTTTGACAGCAACAGTGATAGAGATAACCAAACCATTACCATTTCCCACGAACAGTTCGGCTATGCACGGTATGATGCGTTCTGAACGGCACGGTGGTGGGCGGTGGCGGTCTGTCGGTAAGGTCTCGTTGTCTCCTACACCTCTACACCAGTACACCACACCACACCACACCGTTCTTTTCATCAACTTTTGCTTTCTTCAAGCAAGGTAGATCCAGATGTTGAATTTGAATTGAATTGAATGTCGGTGTTTTTTTCTCCCGTCTGACTCTCTTGTTACTTGTTAGTTTTGTTTTGATTAACTTTAACCTTTGACCATTCTATACTTTAACGTGCTTTAACCAAGGCCCTCCTCTGCCGGGAAGTGGAAACTGTCAACAGGAACAGAGAAATAAGTTATACCCTAGTCCAACCATACTCAGGTAAAAAATTAGGCCTACTTGTTTGAAATTATACCTATTCCGTAGCATAAATCATTGATATCTTAATATAGGCATAGGTCTATAATATAGCTATTTCATTTAATAGGCTAGTAAGCGAAAACAGGACTGGTGAGAGCCTTCCCTGGGCCCCCTATTTACATGATGACTTATTACTTAAGCTAGGCAGCCGTGGTCATGTCCAGCTGCCTCTGTGCCATTTCTTTGGTTATATGATTACCAATAGACTTCAAAAATGCATAATAGGCCTAAGTAGTTTGATTAATTCACGTGCTCACTGTTGCAACTTTATTCAAGTCTAAAACTACCGGTAAATTGATACTTTTAGTGAACTCGAAAACCTTAATAGGGCTTAAACTTTTTTACTTGAGCAGATTACATTTAGGCCTACAGGAAAAAATGTATATTTGACCAGGCAGGGCCCTCTTCGGAGCCCTGGGGCCCTGCCCCACCCTCTAGCCGGCACTTGCAAAGACTGCATGTTTAGAATCACCTAGTCAGCTAATAGGCACTTAGGCCTGACTAAAATAGTTATTTTAGGCCTTTGACTTAAGTTAATAAAACTAACTTGGACATTCCATCCCCATGTTAAATTTGTAGCCAGATTTTTTACAGAAGTAGGCCTAGGCTAAATAAAAGAAACGTCTTGACTTGTAACACTTAAAACAGGGTAGAGTGGGGGAATTGGGACCCATGTTTTTATTTTTTTCAATTAGCCTATATGTTTATTGTCAGAAAAAAAAATATGAGCATGCACAAGTTTCCAACTGTAATTTGTCTTCTTATCACATGTTTTCCATTTTTTTAAATAAATTTCACTATGAAAAAAAAATAATAATTTGGAACCTAATTACCCCACATGGGGTAATTGGGACCTATGCTTATAAACCCATAAGCACCTAATATTAATTTGTGGGGGGTAATAGGGTTCTAAAAATGAAAACATGATAAACAAATTGCAACATACTTTTATTGGAAAAAAAAATTTTTTAGGACATTGCAACAGTTCAAACTATTTTTTCCAAAACATAACACTTTTTTCTTTATAAAATAGGAATAATTAATCAGAGCAGATAACAGCCAGAAAATATAGATTTAAACTGTTAAAGACCTGTAGGCCTATAGTTAAATAAAAAAAAAAAAACTAGGGGCCTACAAGTACTTATATTTTATGTCGAACTTCTTTTCTGGTCATATGCAAACTTTCCGGAATTTCGCTTTTTCAGCCGAAAGAATTTCTAACAAATGGTAGGTAGTTATCAGTCCAAATATAAGTTAAAGTAGGCTAATTATGGGCTTAGCTCACTCTTTTAGGCCCTAGTTTCTTATTCAAGGGGTTGTAAAATATTTTTTTTTCTTTTCTGTACATCTGTGATTCCAACACGATGGTAATTGGGACCTACTTCAAAATTTTGTTTTTACACATAAAATACATGATAATCACCACTGCAGCCACATATAATTATTGGTTAATTATATGTGGGATTAATTATAATGTAAATATCAATTATATGTCGGATAAAAAAATATGGGTCCCATTTCCCCACACCGGGGTAGTTGAGACCCATTAAAAAAAATAGGCTAGGCCTAATTATAAAATTAATTTTTAATTTCAT